CTCATAGAAACAGAGAAATCGCTGGTTGCTGGGGTCGGGAGGGAGGGCAAGCGGGAATGGGTGAAGGTGAAAAAATACAAACTTCCAGTGCTAAGCTGAATAGTTTGAGGGATGTAATGTGCAACGTGGTGGCCACAGTTAACAATACTGTGTTGCATATTTGAAAGTTGCTATGAAACTGAACATTTCAACTCCTTGAATGTAGAATCAGCCCAGCAAGAGTCTTAGTGAGATCGCTAAATGGAATGGTTTAAAAAAACAAAACTACTTTCCTTTTAAGCTGGAAAAAAAAAAGCCCTTCCCACTGGAAAGCTTACAGAAAAGGCAGAACAGCCTGACTGAATGGGGGGTGGGAGGGCTGGTCCGGCCTGCACCTCTCCCTTACCTGTGGGAAGCCTGCTGTGCTCCCAACCTCTGTAACAGGAAGATTCTGGGGCCCACAGCCACCAAGTTGTGGTAATGACCACATGGACACTTGCAGGGGACTTCAAGCTTCGGAAACATCTTACTGCTGCTTTCCCCCCAGGTGGCCCACATCCCTGTGATGGAGTAAGAAAGGCCTCCTTGCCCAGAGGGGCCAGTTAACTCCCCTGAAGTCACACAGTCCACAGCAGGTCTGGACTCAGAGCTCAGCAGAAGGTGAAGGAACTTTGCTGGGAGGTCACTCTCAAACCATGCAGCTGCCGCTCTGTCAGAGGTGTCTTCCTGGGGACTGGGGGACGGGGGCTTGGGGGGCTCTCCCAAGCTGAGCAGCAGAAGTTGTTGTGAAGGGGAGGGAAGGCAGGACCCCTTCTCCTGGCTCCTCATGAACGTTCAGGAGGCAGCTCCCCCTGCCTCCAGCTCCCTCTTTTCCTTTAGAGCCCTCCCTGAAAGGTTAATTACCAAATCATCCCATCAAGGGAAATTGCACTTTGTGCCTTTAAAGACCAAACTGAGCTTCAGCAATGTAGTTATTTATGGTCTCTAATAAGCATTTTCTGGGTGTGATTAACCTTTATACCAAAGTCACACTGGGATTTGGGATGGCAGCTTCAATTCCTGCTCTGCGCTGGCCTGGGGGTAGGGGCAAGGGCAGCAGCTGGAGCAGGCAGCTGGCACACTGTGCCCCTTCCACCCCACCCTCTATGCCCAGTCCTGCACCCTCCTCTACCCATCCCTTCTCCCATGCCCTGTCCTGACCTGAGCCATCCCCTCCTCCATCTTTCATCCACTTAAAAAACAGACACGGATTGCCTGCTTACTGTGTCCTAGTCCTCACTCAACAGCTGAAAACAGTTCAGTGACCTGGAGCACCTCAACTGTGAAACCCGTATGAAACGGGAAGCATGAGACCCACCCGTCTGCTTTCTGCAGCGCAGTGCCCCTTGGTACAGGTGAGTGAGCCTCGCACTCCACCAGCCTCAGATCCTTGGTGCCATTTTTGGAAAATGGTAAACCTTACGAAGTCCTGAAGGCTTGGTTTGTCAAAAATTGTTCTGAGCCCGGCTGGTGTTGCTCAGTGGTTGAGCATCCACCTATGAACTACTAGGAGGTCACGATTCAATTCCTGATCAGGGCACATGCCCAGGCTGGGCGCTCGATCCTCAGTAGGAGGCATGCAGGAAGCAGCTGATGGATGATGCTCTCTCATCATTGATGTTTCTATATCTCTCTCCCTCTCCCTTCCTCTCTGAAGTCAATAAAAATATATTTTAACAATTGTTCTGAAAGGAGAAAAAGTGGCGAGGGCTGATGCTGGGAGCCGGGGAGGGAAGCAGATGGAGGCATCCGAGAGAGTGGCAGCTCCCAGGTCAAACCACTTTGGGGTCGCCGTCAGAGAGGGTGACAGATACGGTTGATGAGGCCCGGGCCTCCGATGTGACCCCATTTGCCATATGCTCTGGGGATTTGGGAGTGGTGAGGCCTCCTTGAGAAGTGGCAGATGCTGGGCACCCTCCCCTGGAAAATGGTTGTCATTACACACTACTTGTGCATTTACTTACAGGGTTTCGTGTCCCTACCCTTGTGTGCTTGAGGACCCTCCATTAAGGAACTCTCAGCTTCAGAAAGAAATAAACAGCATCCTTGAAACTCTGGGGCCTGTTCCTATAATGCGGCAATTGCCTGTTGATGGAGATAGAAAACTGCAGTGAATGTTGAAAAGGAGAGCAATGGATGGTGGGAGGAAATACACAGGAAATACTCCCGATTTTTCATGGAAGTGTGATTCGGGAATCAGCCAGAAGCCTCTTCAAACCCTTCCGCAGAGCTTGACGTGGCACAGACACACGTTCTGTGCAGAGCTGACCTTTCCTGAGCGGAAAGGTTGGTTCGGGAATATTAAGAAGCCCTTTTCTTTGCATAATGCAAAGCCAGCCCTCTCATGGTAGAAAATGACTCTGCGAACCATCATACCCAAGAAGGAGATGTAAGGGTCAGGGTTGTAGGCAGTCAGCCAAGGACAGGCGCTAGCCCTTTGTCCTGCGGCATTTGGTTTGGTTTCACGATGAATCCGGATTGCTCTTTTCCTCAATGAACCCGAGACATTAAGACGTGAGGCTAAGACATGTGGCTGCTGTATTTTTCATCTAATTAGGACCCTGGGGCGTGAGTGCTTTGTCTCGAGGCTGTTTCATGCATCTGGGGCTAGTCCAGGGTCCCCATCTGCTGGTGTCATGAGCACCAGGATCCAGCGCATGTACAAAAGGGAGGGGGTGACTGAGTCGCTCCACTTTGGAGGGTTAGGGAAAGTGCTGCCAAGCGGAGGGGCTGTGGGGCTGGCTTTTGAGGCCACCAGGGCTCACCAGGCAAAGGGTGGGCCAGGCTGAGGAGGGGTGAAGGCCTGCAAGGCACAGGTGTGCAGACACCCGCGGGATCCATGCACTGATTGATAAGCAATTGCATGGGAATGAAATGTGGTAGTTTAAGGGGATCTGAAGACTGAAGCACAAAGCGCAACTTCAGGGTCAGAAGGATAATGGTGGAATGTCAGGCAGCATGACTGATAATCTGGAATAGAGTGTTTCCGTTTCTTTAACTTGCCTGTGGCTGAGCTGCCTCTTGGAGCCCCACTTCCATTCTCTGTGTGCGTGTGTGCACGTTGGGAGGGAGGTGGCAGGGAGTCCTAGTCTCCCTCTAGAAGGAGCCCCTGGCCCCCTGAGCTGACTGAGCAGCCGGGGACAGAGCAGAGCTGGGTCCCTGCTGACTGTTGAGCTGAGCTGTGCAGGTTTGTCCCCGAGGACGGCTCTCTGCTCTGCCAGCAGAAGCCTCTGGCTGGCCTGGTGGCTTCCTCTTCTCTCCAATTCTACGTTTTCACTTGGAAAATGAGAGTAAAGATATTTCGCCATCTCTCTGGCGACTGCGAAGTTTAATTACTGATTAATAAAGTGTTGGAAGTTCCTTGGGGCCTGAGAGTTGAATGGGTTCGTTGTAATATCTCCTGAGTCCCAGGAGTGAAGTAGCTAACCCAGCACCGTTTGCTGAGCAGCTGGGGTCTGGACACCAGATGGGGGTGCAGGGCTGTGGGGGGGGGGGGGGGGGCGGTGCTTGGGAGCTTGGCTCAGTAAGAGCACAGAGACCCCTATGAGGTGAAAAAGGAGTGTGCCTGTGAGTGAATAGTCAACAAGCCCACTAAGGACTCAGGCAGGGCACTGAGGGTACAACGTATGTGAATTATCAGGGTCAAGGGGCAGGGGTGGCTTCCTGAAGGAGGTGGTGGCAGGACAGACTCTAACCGGGAGTGGGGAGCACTCGAGTCCACCTTGGAATGTAGGGTAGGAGAGAGGGGAGCACGGCCTGCCTTTGTCATTGGACAGGTGTGGGAAGGAGGAGGTACCCCAAAGTGGGTGGCACTGGGAGGGGCAGAGGGGGACAGGGCAGGAGAGGACATTTGAGACAGGTGAGCATGGAAAGTTCGCCTCTGGACAAGGGCAAGTCAGTTTGCCTCTGGACTGGGGGAAGGTCCTGAGGTCCAGAGGGGTGAGTGGGGAGGGGTGCAGGGGAAGGGAGGCGGTACTAATACAGCCTTGGGGAGGGTGGGAGGGGGGATGGTGGAGTCTAGCTTGGGCAGAAGGCACATGAGCAGGGCAGGACCAGGATTAGGGTGAGGCCAATGAAGCATTCTCCTCAAGTGCAAAATGTAAGGTGGCCCAAATCTCAGTAATCAGATAAATACTATTTTAATGTTATTACTGATCTTTCCTTTTACCTCAGGTGCCAATATAGCCCCACACTGTTACTGATCTTGTCTTAAAAAAAAAAAACGTTTTGAATATTTTGTTCATCATGGATTTTTTGCATTGATTTAGAGTTCTTTTAATATTGCATTAGAATATTATTTATCTTGAGTACTAAATTTTCTGGTGCCCCCTTAACATTTGTACCCGAGGCGATGCTTCGCTCTCCTCACCCTGTTCCCGGCCTGTGAGTGAGGGCTGTGCACCCACCCCGCTGCCCCTCCTCTAAGCTAGCCGTTTGCTCAGTGGGACTCAGACAAGCCCCTCCGTCTCCCCACCTCATTTTCCCGCTGTGAAGATCACAGGGTCTGCACTGTGCAAGTCTTCGAGAACAGCTGGAGAGAAAACTCAGGCACAGAGAGGGCAAGTAACCTGCCCATGGCAACACAGTGAAACGGGCTGGACGCCAGGTCTTTTTTGACTTTAAATCCACAGGAAGGGCGGTGACCTCGAGGGAGGGGACACAACAGTTGTGTGGGGTGTTACTGAAGAAGGGGCAGCCCTCCAGCTGTGGGGTCCACACCACTCTCCTCCCAGTGGGCTGGAATTCCGGAATCAGAGTGACGCCGAGTCCCTGGGGAATGTGAGGGGTGCCGGTTCTCCCTAGAACTGGGCAGCTGTCTTTCCAGGCGCATTTGTTTCTTCATCTCTCTGGGCCTTAATTTTCTCAACTGTGAAAAGGGACAACCACTCCTGCCCCAGGGAGAATTAAGTGCCATCGCAGATGTAAAAAGGCTTGATAAATGGTGAGGCACAAGTTGTAGGGACTGGTCACTAGCTGGGCAGGGATGAGGCCGGGAAGCAGCTGACTGAACAAGAGGCCAGGAGAGCTCGCAGCTCCAAAGGGAGGCGGGGGGGAGGTGCACAATGAGGACCTATGAGCTATGGGGCTCAGGGTGTTGGGGCACAGTTGGGCCATGCTTGGGATCCCATGTGGATGGACGCAGCTTTCCTAGGCAGATTGTTTAGTTGGGGCCTTCCTTCTCACTGGGGGTCCTCTAGCCCTCAGGGAGAAATTTTACCTGCCCTGGGGATCTGGGCTCCTGCTCTTACCAGTCTCCTTTCCAGGCCCCTCCAATAGCAAGGTGGCTCTAGATCAGGCAGGGAAGATGGGGCGGGGTGGGTGGGGGAGGCGGTTGTGTATGTGTGTGTGAGGGGGTGGGATTTGGGAAGACACATGGATGAGGGGAGAAGAGGGTAGGCGAGAAGCTGCAGGCTGGACTGCTCATGGCAGTCTAACCATGTCCCTCATCCCCCTGTGCCCACAGGCCCTTCTCCTCCTGGGGCTGAACCCCGTCTCTGCCTTCCTCCAGGACCAGCACTGCGAGAACCTGTCCCCGGCCAGCAACGTCTCTGGTGAGTACCCCCACTCTGCTCCTGCAAGAGTCCAGCCCCACCACCTGCCACAGCCCATTACCTGCCCCTCCAGGATTCTCACAGAGCCATGCCCTAAGGCAGGAACAGCATAGATTTCCTCTCTAGGGTCCAAGCAATTCCTCTCTCCAAGGAGGGAGTGCCGTGTTAAGGTAGATCCTGAAACTGTGGTGGGAAAGAGAGCTGTGACTAGGTAACGGTGTCTGTCACACACACACAGGAGGGGCTTGTGGCAGTGTGCTGGGTAGTTATCTGCCCTGCTTTGGGGTGGGCAACAGCGTGGGGCTGAGCTGTGGCTCGGGCATCGGGAGGAAAGAGGCTGTGTTCTGTGTAGAGGGCTAACGCTGTGCCAGACGCTGCCAGGGGTATCTGAGCTATATTAACCCGGGTAGGTGCTGTAATCCTCACTGTACACATAGGGAACTGGAGCACAGAGAAAAACGAGCAAGGGCCAGAGCCAAGATCTGAGACCAGGCAGGCTGGCTTCCAGATACGTTTTCAACACCAAGCTCGATAATGCCTCAGTGAAAATACTGCATAACTGCAAATATGACTAATACTTGTATAACTTTTTTTTTTTACAAAGGGCTTTTGAATAATGGTCTTATTTCATGTTCACAGGAGTTTAAGACTCATCTGAGGGAACTTAGGCACAGGAGAGTTACATGGGAATTTAGGTCTTTGGCTTTGCCTTGTCAAGACCATGCCTTTTCTAACTTGGGGTGTGACCCCTGAGCCCTCACCCCGGCTCCTGCGACGCTGCTGCTTGGGCAGGTGGGAGGTCTCCCTGCACCTGAGGGTCTTAGGGAAGCTCAATCTTTGGTGATTTATTTCTCTCTTTAGGTCTCTCCTCCCTTCAATCCAAAAGACCTACTATGTAGCTGGGTTGAGGGGAAGGCACTTGCCATGAATTGCTCACTACAATGCAGGTGGCAGGGAAATTAGATCAGGAGTGGTATGAATCCAGGAAGGCTTTCTGAAGGAGGAGGTTCAAGGTGAGTCTCTGAGAAACTCTGAGTGTGGAGTGGCAGAGAAGACCCAATGCTCTGAGTCAAAGCTAGAGTTGACTGAAGACCAGCAGCTGAGTTTGGTGAATTTTCCATCTGGCTGCAAAGTTGGCTAAGCTGGGTCATGGGGAACGGGGAAGTTCTTGAGCAAGAGTCTGGAGTGCTAGTGGAGGGAGACTGGGAGGGAGGCCACCTGCTCAGAGGCTGGGCTTGAGATGAAAGGCCCTGCCCGTAGCCCCACATACATGAGGCTCCATTAATTTGCTTGTTGTGTTCAGGAGAAGTGACATCCCTGAGCCACTGCAGGTATCACCTGTCCTTGAAGGCAACAGGCCATGATGAATGCCATTCATGCGCCGATGATTTGTACTCTGTGCCATTACCTCCATCTTGGCCCAGCATGCGGGGCTTCATGGCACACAATCCATCACCCTCTACAATGGCCTCTGATAATGCGCTATTTGTCTTTGGAACCAAGACCTACCCAGACCAATGGGTACTGGTAGACAGATGGTGAGGGTGGGTGGAGGGACGGGGACAGATGGATGGGCGTCTGGCCGGGGCAGCTAGCACTGAACCGGGGCCTTTGGGGGTCTTCTCACATGCCAGGAATAGGGAGAGGGTGGGTCCCCGGAGCCATCATGTGGCAGATCATAGACTTGGCAACTCATAAAATCATGTCATGAATATGACAATGCCAGAAAGTAATGGAATTATTAACTAGTGACAAATGCAATCATGTTATCGACAAGAACCCATGTCATCAGTCCCAAGCCCTGTCTTAAGGTCATGAATAATAACAATAATTAATGATAGCTTATATTTATTTTGCGTCCACTAAGGGTAGACACCATTCTAAGTGCTCTAATCTCATTCAATCATCAAACAGCATAGCCAGGGAGTATTTTTATCCCCATTTTACAGAAGGCTCAGAAAGCTTTGATCACTTGCCCAAGCACATACAGTTACTAAGCAGCCACTCTAATATTAGAAGCAAGTGGGCCCGATTCTAGACTTTGCCACCACCACGTTATGTGGCTGCCCAGAGAGCCATGGTGCTCAGGGCCTAGTGTCGTCCATCATCCTGGGAGGCAAAGTCGCCCCTGCAATTTCCCATGCTCACAATGGGTTTGCACGTGGCCCCTAATTGTCCTCTAGACCTACTATGTGCCTGGCACTGTGCTAGGTATTGGGAATGCAAAAATGAAGAGCCCACAGACCTATAGGACAGGAAGCCCACCCATTTGTCCTGATGAATCACACACTCTACAAAGGTATCTTTCTTCTCCGCCCAGACAAAGAGGAGGCAGCTCAACCACAAGGTGGTGGAGGAGCAGGACTCACTGCCTGCCCTCTGACACCCTCTCCAGGCTGGTGACACAGGCAGAGCCCCTGCCCGTTCATCCCAGCAGCACCTTCCTCTGAATGGCAAGCGTGTGTGTGTGTGTGTGTGTGTGTGTGTGCACGCGCGCGCGCACGCGTGTGTGTTTCAGAAGCTGCCTCCCTCTCTGAACAGCCTTGGCTGAGTCCTGCTCCTGGGCTTAAACCAAACAGGAGGATGGGCTTCCCAGCCTCAGGGCTGCTGCCAAGTGCCCACCTACTCTGGTTACTCAGAAACCCCTGATGAGAGACCGGACATAACTGGGGCGGGAGCCAGGCTCCAGGCTCCCTCGGAAGGACCTGCTGAGCACATTTGCACCCTGAGCCTGGTGGGAAGCGAACTGTGCTACCTACTTGGAAGAAGACACCAGTGCCCTATCATGCACAAGCATTAAACAGCTACCTTCAAAGGGTTCTTATCTGTTCATTAAAGCAGGCCCCCCATGATCCTGACTCAGCAAGGGTTTCCTCAGAGGCAGGTGGGAGCCATCCATGCTACTCCTCTTCCCTCCATTCGCAAGCATTTGGGGGTAGTCTGACCACACTGCTCCCATGAGCAATGAGAGTGTGGCGTCGCCTGCATCTGCTCTCTGCACATGTGGGGAGGGAGGAAGATACAGGACCAGTGTGCATTGGTCCACTTGACTCCGCCCCGCTCCCCACCCCCAAGTGACAGCAGTGTCAGCACGTTAGGCACACCAAGCACACGCCTGCCTCAGGACCGTTGTACTTGCTGTTCCCTCTGTCTTGAACACTGTTCCCCAAATATGCGCATGCCTCCCTCCCTCATTTCCTTTAGGTTTCTCCTTAAGTGCGCTTTAGACAAAACCAATTAAAATAGAGCTCCTGTCTATCTCCTCATCCTGCTTCTTTTTTCTCCAAGTATTTCTCATTGCTTAACAGATCTGTCTATTTGGGTGCAACCAAGTGCTATGAGGGCTGGTTGCCCAGGCTGGGACCAGCTGTGGTGCAGTGGGAAGAGCCTCAGCAGACATTAAACACCAATATTCAAACCCACTTATGCCTCTCAGTGTCTGTGTGACTTTGGCTAGGCCATGTGACTGCTTGGGCCTCCGTTTCCTTATCTGTAAGACAGAGAGAATTAGCACCCATGTTGGCAGGTGGTGTGAGACCCACACAGTAGGTGCTACAGAATCCACAGTCCAGGGGCAAATAGCGACGGCCCTGCCCATTCTCACCCCCAAACCCTAGACCAGTGGGGGTGGTGCCAGGGCTCGGGGCATTGGCTGCTGCCTGGTCCTAAAGGCCAAAAGGGCCATCTGCTCGGTGGCCGGTCCCTGCCTTGGGTCTGGCCTGGTCCTGGCTGTGGCCGGTGCTCAGTCCTGCCCTGCCCTCTGTTCTTTGTGGTAGGGACTCTGGGGAAATGTCCAAGGCAGGAAAGAGAGGGAGAAGGAAGAGAGGGCGGGTCAATGCGACTGACTGAGAGGGTGTGTTAGGCAAGTCCCAGGTGCTGCCACACGTGACATACAGATGACATCCCATTTAATCTTCCCAGTACCTAGCTCAGGAGGTACTTGAATGAATGAGTAAATGGACAACCTATTGAGGAAGGTCCGATGGTGCCATTACATCAGATGGTGTATCTATAAAGCACCTGACAAGTGCCCTTCACACAGTCAGTCCTCCATAAATGTTACTCATTCCCCAATGCCTCGTGGACTGTTCCCCTTCCCTTTATTGGCACAAAATGTGGTGTCATAGAAAGAGCACTGGATTTAGGGTCAAAAACACGTGACTATGTGTCTTGGTTCTTTCACTCATTGACTCATGACCTCAGGCAAGTCACTTGCTTCCATGGGCCTCAGTTTGCTCATCTGCCAAAAGGGGATAATGACATTGTAGGGTGGATGAGGATCCAACAAAACATATGAAGGAAAGTTTTACAGAAGCAGAGCATGGTTCATAATATTACCCCTCCATTCCCATGGCCACATGCCTCCAGTTACTCCCTCTTCCGGGCTCAGCACTGTCGACATGACCACGACATTAAAATCTTAACACGCTTTCCTCGCTCCGTGAAGCAATTCAGGGACGCTGTGCTGTGGCACAGGGCCGGGACCTGGCCCACCCCAGCCACCTGGCCCATCGTCTCCTCACAGCCATAACGCCCCAGTCCAGACTTCTTTCTCTTTCTATTAAACCACTTGGCCTCAAGGCCTCTACCCCTTGAGCCCTGATTTGCACGAACACCCTGTGAATAGCTTTGATTAGAAATGAAAACCCAGCATTTGGTCCAAGTGCTGCTCAGCACTGCCCTGCATCCAGCAGGGACAGGACGCCTCTCTAATCCAGTGCTGTTTCCTGAGAGACTGGGGCCGAGCTAAGCTGGGGAGGAGATGGCAGGTGGGCCAGCCAGGGCTTGGCAGCTGCTGATGCCCAGACCTAAAGAGGCTGACCCCACATTGGTCCATGGCTCTCCCTGGCTTGTCTGTGCAGGCGTGTGCCACCCCAGGTTATTAACCCCTCCCATTATGCGAGGCACCCGGGGCACATGGTGCCAGCCCTATGCAAGAGATAGGCATCAAAAGGCAGAGAAAGGAGGGGGGGCAGGAATGTGCTCAGTCCAGCCCCTGCCCATTGGAGACCAGAAGTATTACTGTGGCTTCTACTCTGTCCCAACACACACACACACACACACACACACCACACACACACACTCCACTTTCTAATTCATCTGCTTACATCCTTTTAAAAGTCACAGGCCCCTTTGAGAATGTAATGAAAGCCAAGGTCCCTTTCCTAAGCAAAATGCACATATAGACCAAGTTTTTCACTTAATCTCAGAGTCTCTATGAACCCTGAAAGCTTCCATGAACTGCGATTAAGAATTTCTGATCAGATCCAACCATTTCATTTTACTGTAAAGACACTCAGGTCCAGAGAGGGCAAGCAACTTGCCTACGGTCCCACAGCAAATTAGTAACACAGCCCAGTCTGAAGTCAGGGTTCCAGACTCCTGGTTCAGTGTCCTTTCTGCTCCCCTGGATGGTGTCTCCCTGCCTTTTCTCCCCGTGGTCCCATCTCCGTCCGTCCTCTCAGGGCACAGCGCAGACGACTGTGCAAGCAGTGTGTGTTCAGTAAATGTGGTCATCAGGCCAGCTGCAAGGCAGGCCAACTTCATTTAGCTGGTTCCTCCCTGCAGGGCTAGGGCAGACATGGTTTGGCTCTGAAGATGTGTAAGGGGGATTGGGTCAGGGGTTGGCAGGTTCCTTTCCACTCTGTGAACTCTGAGAGCTCAGGTCTGCCCCAAGTGATGTGCCGAGAAAAGTGTCCTCAGGTTACAGAGCAGAGGGTCCTGAAGCATATCCAGCCTTCCACTAAATGCCAGTCAGGACCTCGGCTTTTAACATCACCTCCTGCCATCTCTGTTCCTCCTCTGCTCTGGAATCTACTCTGGCTCCCTAGTGCCATCGCATCAAATTCAGATTCCTTCCCTGGTGTCTTCCCCTGAATAGGATGAGCGATCTCTGCACTAGGGCCATCGCTCCTGTCCTGTCCCCCGTTGGTGTGTGTGTGGGCCTTTCGGGAGGTGGGGAGGACACTGGAGTGGGGATCTTGCTCTGCCTCACCAGCTGTCTCTGCCCCCAGGACTGCAGTGCAATGCATCCGTGGACCTCATTGGCACCTGCTGGCCCCAGAGCCCCGCGGGGCAGCTGGTGGTTCGACCCTGCCCTGCCTATTTCTACGGTGTCCGCTACAACACCACAAGTAAGGGGGCCTGTGGAGGACTGACTTGGTGGAGACGGGGGAAATAATAATGACAAAAACGATAATAACAGTACCTCTCGTGGATACAGCAGCCACCATTTACCAAAGGCCAGCTCTGCTCTGCTGGGCACTGTGTGCTCACATTGCGGATTCTCACAATACCCCCGGAAGACACTATCTATAACTGGATAGTGTTCATTATGCAACTGAGGCCTCTGAGGCTCAGAGAGGTTAGGAAACTTGCCCAAGGTCACCAGGTGGGAAGAGGTGAAGCTGGACTTGCATCCACGTCTGTGTGACACTTCCTTCTGCAGTTGACCAAGTCGACTTGAGCCTCCAACAACCCCATGAGGGAGGGCGGGAATCCTCAGAACAGGCCCAACTTTGGGATGAGAACCCTGAGCTGAGAGCTGTTATGAGGCCGGCCCAGGTTATGAGCCTGGAGGTGGAGAGCTCCGAGTCATGATCTGCAGCCATGTTGGCCTTGCATACGGGCCCACAGGTGGCGTGGGGGTAGGGGAGGACTAACCCACTGTTCAGATATTTGATCCCTTTGTAAACACCTTGCTCCCCTGAGGCCCTGAGCCTCCACCTCCAGGCTTTGCAGCTTCTTGCTATGTCACCTGTCACCCTCAGAATTAATTTGCTCTCCCCTGTCAATGACTCACAGGCCCTGCCTATCAAGACAGCAACACCTGCAGGCCAGTGTCCCGACCTGTCCAAGGGGAAGGGGGGGGGGGGTCCCGGGTGGGCCCTTGGGTCTGGTGGGCCTGAGCTCAGAGCCCCAAAAGGGTACAGGGGGGCCACAGACACCATGTGGTTCACTCTGAGACAGGCTATGTGACCTTTAGCACATCCCCCCTCTTATGGCCCTCTGCCCCCTTTCTGAGGATGGAGAGGGATGGATGACATGGCTTCTAATACTTCATTAGCTCAAAGCTCCCAAGTTCCATCTCCTGCCCCTCTCTCCTTTACCAGCTGGACTAAGGTTAGGGTTGGGGGCTGCAGCCAAGAAAGGGTTGGAGGGCCCTGGGGAGGCATTGGGGCCAGAGAGGAGGCTGGAACAGCCAGACCAAGCAGCTTCATGTGCCTGGAACCCACAGAAGGAGAAGAAAGACTGGAAGGGGTGTGGGGGGGACATCAGGCAAGAGGAAGAGCAGAAGGACCTCAGAGGAAAGCTTGGGGTGCACAGCGGCCAGCCTCCAGTTTAGTAAGGCCCATTTCACAGTTAGAAAATGGAGGCAGAGGCTGTTAGCTGCCCGGGGCCACAAAGCTTAGAAGCAGGGCCACACTGAGAGTCAGAGCCCTCCTGCTACTCCACCCACAATGCTGTGTGCCTACAGGAAGGAGGCAGCATTGGGGCTGGTGCATTATGGGGTGTGCTGGAGGGAGGTCCCTCTCCCTCTCAGGTACCAGGTCCTGCCTTTCACCTCCAAAGTGATTTTCAAGTCTAGCCCTCCCTGCCCTCAGCCCCGGTGCCACTGTCCCTGTCCAAGGCACCCGATCTCTAACCTTTGTTTTGCATCTGACCCCATCACACCCTTGTTTGGAGTCATCTTTTCTATGACTCCCCATTGCCTCCATGGTCAAGTCCATACCCCTGAGGGGGGCTGGCCAGGCTCTCTCTAGCTGAAGCCCCACCAAATTACAGCCAGCTCTGGCCACTCCCAGTGAGCTTCCTCCACTCTTGTCCCCAAGGATGACTTGACACGCCCCAAAGTGAGTGTTTTCAGAGCTTAGTGCCTGGGCATGTGCCACTCAATTCGCCAGCCCTGCCTTAAATGGAAGCCAGGAGTCCTGGGTTCCAGCCCCAGCTCCGTGTGTAACTGGCTACGGAGCTTCGGCATTCGCACTGGGCCTCAGTTGCTCCACCTGCAGGGTGAAAGGGAGGTTTGGGTGGGGCGCTCTTCGGCCTCCTCTGTCTTCCCTCTGTAATCCCAGGAGAGCAGCTGGGGGCGATGGTCCCTAGTCATGGGGGTTGGGCTGGCAGATCCCCTTCTCCAGATGCTTAGTGCCGAACAATGAGGAACACGCCCATGCGATCAATAGTGAGTGAGAACCCAGAGTTGCACCTAATCATTCAACCCTAATTAATTTATTTACTGAAGAGGTGCTGCTGGGACTTCCTGGCCTTCTCCTTAATGCCCTCCTTCCCGCCGCATCTGATCTTCAAAGACATGGGGAGAATTTCCAAAAATATCCATTTTCCCATGATTCTCCGGGAAGACTGCTCAGCTCAGCAATCAAAGACAAGGAGGTCGCATCCTCCCTGGAAACGACTCCCTGCTTGTCAGGCCTGTTTCCTTTCAGGAGCGCCTCCTGCCTCCCCACCAAAGCCTGCTCCCTCTGGATGACCGGGCCGGGTAGGGACTCCAGCTCCTGGCCCCACATGTGGGGTGTGAATGGGGGGCTTAGGCTAAGAGCATGGCTCTTGTTAACCCCACCAGTACCCCCTTTGATAGGGACAAGTGACACGTTCTAAGTCTTATGTAAATACGGCTCCAAGACAATAATAATAACAATCGCAGCTCACGCCACCTGCTGGTGGAGCTCCAAGCTCTCTGCATAGTTAACTACAATGCTCACTCAACCCATCGGTAGAGCAGTTGTTGAGATCATTCTGGTCTTTCAGGTAAGGACGTTGAGAGGTTGTGCGACTTGCCCAAGGTCACACGGCTAGTGAGGGACGGGGCCAGATTTTGAACCCAGACTGTCTGGGTGGAGAGCCATGCTCCTAACACGGCTTTGTTCTGCCTCGCTTAGGCAAGAACCACTCCCCCAAGCCCCTTTCTTTGCAGACACAGCAGAGACACTGGATCCCCTGGTTCCTTGCCTGCCCCCAGACCCCCCTGAAAACCCTGTCACTAAGCTCTCAGCCCTCTGGTAGCTTATCCTTCATTTAACAGTTAGGAGAGAATGAGCAGCTTCGTAGCCACCTCTGCCTAAGGCTCAACTCCGCTGAGGCTCCGGTCACTGGCAGAGAAGCTGAGCAGAGCTTAAAAAACCCATTTAGCCTGTTTCCCCACTGGCCTGCTACAGAGGCGTGAGCGGCCTTTCAGCAGAGGGGTTGGGGAGCAGGGTTAGCGAGGAGGCCTCACAGCCTTGCAGCCCTGGAGGCCAGACCCTGTCTCCCTCTCTCGGTGATGCAGTAGCATCTCCCCCCACTGCCCACACCATCATCTCCCTCTGGTCCTGATGCTGCCAGCGGAGAGACAGCTCCCAGGCTGGACGGCCCCTTGGGGGTCCGCTAGTCCAGCCCTCCCTGGTGCACATGAGCAGAGGGGCCCCAGAGGCCAGCGGGCCCCAGTTCCTCATGCAGCACAGCAGCACTGAGCCGGCCCTGGGCTCCCACCTCTGTCTCCCACACACTACTCTGCCCCTGCCGGGCCCCAGGCTAAGGGACTGGGACTCAGGCAGTTCTTCCAGCCGTCCTCCTGCCCTGTGACACTGAGGGTCAGTGGGAACTGTGGAAAGGCCTGCAGCAGGATAGAGGCTCCAGCAGAAATGGCTTAGGACTCAATTCCCTTCCAGCCAGTTCTGCCTGGAGTGAGGAATTAAGTCAAGAAAATACCTATAGAGCCACTGATGCTGGATGGGGTACAGGGTGGGACAGGACTACCTTTACCAGCAAAGGAGGAAGACTTGAAGTTGGGATCTCTCTTGTCCCTTCCCTACTGAGTTTCAGAGTCCTGGTGACATGCCCAGGGGGGCCCTTTGTGCAGCTCTTGTCATCCCAGAGCCTGAATCCAGGCCTCAGACCATGGAGCTCTTCCCTATCCCTAGACGGTGACAGGTCCTGGGCTGTAGTCCAGCTGATGGCTGCACAGACTCCACCCCTCCTTGGGCCACTCTTCTGTCTTTTCTCCCCACTGCCATGTGCCAGTCTGTGAGCCAGCTGTAGAGGTCCTAATAATGAGACACTTGTTACGTGAGACCCACCCCCTGCGAGGTCCCCAGCACACCCCTGCTACTTGTCATTTTCTGTCCCACGAGACCTCCAACATGGGGAAATGCCCCCATGGGGGCCTTCCCCGGCACCTGCCCCGCGAGCCTCACCCCTGTGGAACGTGTGAGGACCCCCCCCCCCAACAAGAGCCTCACTGTAAGAGTCACCATAGGATGCCCTGTCATTTCATTGTGCCACGTGAGCTTCCGCCATATCATGCCCAGCCTGGGGAGTGAGATTGACTCATCAGACCTCACCATTCGTTTCTGTTGTCACGTGAGACCCCAAAATGGGAAAGTCCTCAGAAGAGCACCCACCACATAATCTGCCACCACATAAGGGCTTGCAAGGGAAGAGCCCAGTGAGCTGGTCAAGACTGCCCAAGGGCCAGTCTCATGGGCATGATCGTGCCAGCACGAGTGGGCAGAGCCGTGCCCCCATGGTCAGGCGCTGAAGTCCACACTGGGCCCCTATTGGAACGAGGGGGCAGAAAGAGGCAGGAAGCTGGGGTAGTAGGGAAGCCCCTCTCCCCAGCTTCACCAGCAGTCAGGCCCTGTGCTGGCCCAGGTGGATGGATAGATGGACAGGGGGAGGGGCAGACAGATCCCTAGTTGCTGTTTGGGAGAGGAACCGCGGGTCACTCTGCCTCTCTCTCCTTTGTCCAGACAACGGTTACAGAGAGTGCCTGGCCAACGGCAGCTGGGCCGCCCGTGTGAACTACTCAGAGTGCCAGGAGATCCTCAGCGAGGAGGTGAGGCTGCCATGCGGCGACCAGGGCCCCCAGCCGAGGCCGTGCCTGCTACTTGGCTGGGGGCCAGTCAGGGTGGGGGAGCCAGAGGCTGATGGCAAGGCCCTGGGAACTCAAACTCATATATGCAGGAGGGAAGCTGTGCCACGTGGGCAGTAGGCAGTGGGCAGACTGATGCGAGGAGTCCTCGTTCCTTCCTTCCCTCCCTCCTCCTGCTCACTGGGACAGGTTTTCATCCATTTTCCACCTCTCCCGCCTGAGCGACATATCCAGGTGCAGCCAGGGGCTATATCAGGATTGGGGATGGGAGTGGGGGCAGTGCAGCTTGAAAAAGCCCTTTTATTTATTTAATCCTCATCCGAAGATATTTTCCCATTGATTTTTAGAGAGTGGAAGAGAGAGGGAACGACAGAGAGAAATATCGATGGGGGGGAAACACATTGACTGGTTGCCTCCTGCACAAGCCGCGACCAGGGCCCGAGCCCTGGAGAAGCCTGCCACCGCGGTACATGCCCTTGACCAGAATCAAACCTGGGACCCCTCGGTCTGTAGGCTGACACTCTATCCACGAGCCAAGCCAGCTAGCGTTCGAAAAAGCCCTTTGGAGAGCCTTTTAAATAGGCAAATGTTCTTGAGAAGATGTTGCTTACACATAATACAGAATTCAAAGGTACAGACGGGCATACAAAGAATGTCTCCCTCTCAACCCAGTCACTGGGATCTCTACCAGAGACAACCATTTTGCCAGTGTCTTTTTAAAAATATATATATAATTCTTTATTAGTTAAGGTATTACAAATGTATATTTTTATTGATTTCAGAGAGGAAGAGAGAGGGGGATAGAAACCTCAATGATGAAAGAGAATCATTGATCGGCTGGGGATGGAGTCTGAAACCCAGGCATGTGCCCTGACCAGGAATCAAACCTGAGACCCTTCAGTCTGCAGACCAAAGCTCTATCCACTGAGCCAAACCAGCTAGGGCCATTTTGCCAGTTTCTTAAATGTTCTCCCAGAGACATTCCCTGCATATTCGAGTAATTAGGTGCCTATCTTCTTTTCTGTTTTCACCCAAACGTTGCGTATTATACACCCTGTTCAACACCTTGCTTTTTACATGTAAGCATCCACCTTGGTGGTGGTTCCACACCAGTACATAAAGAGCAGCTTCATTCTTTTTCACATTTGCATAATATCACCTCCTGCAGATGGACCATAATTTATTTACCCATTTTTTATTCTCAGTCTCTGGTTGCTACCAACAGTGCTGCAATGAATAAACTTTCAAGGTTGAGATTTGGCAGATGCATGGGTGAATCTATCTTCCTGGTGTTGCTGCCCTGCCCCCCTGTCCCTGCCCCTACATCTCCACCCACCCCTTCAGTGGGTGCTGAAGAAGGGGGTCATAGAGCTGGAAGCCTGGGGCAGAAGGGAGGATGCCCCAAGCTGTCTGAGGCTTCTGGGGTGCAGAAGAGAGGGGCTGGACCAGGCAGTCCTGGGAATTCCTGTGCCTGAAGGATCTAAACTGGATGGGACCCTACAGACCCTCCATCCCAGCTTGCCTGGGAATAAGAATCACCAGCCCCCAGCCTTGCCAGGGCCCTCCCCACTCCCAGGACGCCCCATTTCCTCTCGGAGCTACTGCAGTTAACCGAGCACCCCGTTTGGTTTCTCAGCTCTGGGCCCTGGAGATGCCCCAATTAAGCGCCAGTGCCCGGAGGGATTGATTGTAGGTCATGGACTGGCAGACCAGCCGCCTGTGAAATGGGAGTTGTGAGGGCGCCCAGAGGCCAGGCTGGGGAGGAGACCGGCCCACAGCCCTCACCACCAGAAAAGCCCCAGTGCCACGCGCGCCACCTTCCTCAGTCTCAGGTCTCCAAATTGGACAGGGACAGGGTGCTGGTCAGGCCAAAGGGATGGGCTGTGTCCACGTGTTTCTCGGGCATCCCAGCAGCTCCTGCAGGTAGTGGTGGCTTTCTCTCGGGAGGTCAGACCGTCTCTCGGGTGTCGTTAAGGTCTCTTGGAGTGTCACATCCTGGGTGTCTCTCTGGGTGTCACAGACCACCTTTCAGGGTGCTGCTGACCATCTCTGCCCATCTCTTGAGGTAACATTGCCATCTGCCCAACACCCTCGGGCTCTCTGCACGGTGACTCCCCCACCCCCAGATGGCTTGCTCCTCCTCAGATGGCATCAGGCTGATGTGGCAGCTGAGAGAGGGCTGGAACCCCGCCTGGGCCTCTAACCCAAGGAGCCACACAGGGCAGCCCTTGAATGGTTTGGTCCAATTCTCCCCTTTCAGACTCATGAGTCCCCATTCTCCCTACAGAAGCCTGGGACAGGGAGAGCGCCTCTGTTCTCTGTCCCTGCCTGAACCCCAAGAAGTGCAGGGTCAGGGGACAGGGGAAGCAGGGTCTTTAAGACCAAGCAGCACTGGAATGTGACTGCCGGCTGGGTGGCTTGAGCCGATGATGCAGCCTCTTCAACTGGAAAAACAGGGACAGAAGGACAGTCTCAGAGGGCAGTTATGAGAAAGAAAAGCAGTGACATCTGTAGAGTTCCCGGCTCCGTGTCCAGCATACAGTAGGTACTTAATAAATGATTCATCTCGCCCAAACCACCCTGGCACAGCCTGCTGGGGGGTTGGTGGGGAGCTCACAGCAGGTGGTGGCGGAGGGGCTGGCTCCCTGCACACTGTGCTCCTCACTCACCTGGGCCAGGGCTCCCACACGTTGTTATTACCCAGAGGCTTCACTGTGCGGATTTGTGGAGAATTTAATAAAAGTAATTAAGCGCCAGGCTGGACGTGTGCATGGAGTCTCCAAATTTGGCATCTGCTGCCAGGTGCTCAGAGGCCCTCCCCATGTGCACGGCCCCCTTCCTCTCGCTCTGTCTCTCTGGCCTGCCTCCATTTACACCTTGCTATGTCTCAGCCCCTCCGAGCCTGAGTTGCTAATGTGACTTCCTGCCAGGTTCCTGAAAGCTTCTGCCAGGGAAACCAGCCCCTAGAGCAGAGCCTCTGAGCACCTGGGCCTGGGACCTCAGAGGCCCTGAAGTGAAGCTGCCCCTGGGCGGGGCCGGGGAGAGGGGGAGAAGGTGTGTGGCTCAGAGGCTGCTAGATGTCCCACTACAGAGGCACGTCCCTTGGGTGAGTGAGTATGGGTCTCAGTTTTCTCATCTGGAAGATGGATGGGGCTGGACTTGATCCCTCAGGACCATCGATATATGAAATGAATGACGTTGTAATGTTGGGGACTTCGTTCTAGTCCTGGGACAGGATCCCCTTCACTTCGGGCAGGGGTGGGACCTAGACAGGGAATTATAGAACCTGAGATGGGTTCTGTGGTTTCTACCAATTCTGTGGATGCTAATCCACAGCCACTCTCACTGTCGCTGATGGAGGCAGGCTGCAGCTACAGCAGGAGGGAGTGAGGGGTGATGGAGGAGGTGGTGGCTCCACCCGGAAGTGGGGGGAGGAAGGAAGTCCTGGAGAGTTGGTGTCTGCACCCCCCGGTGCCAGAGAGTTTGACCTGAATGGCAATGTGTGAGCACCCCTGTGAGCCATGCACACGCGTCTGTGCATGCAGAATGGGGTCCCTGTGTGATGTGGAGAGTCAGTTAACGGACATTCGTCCAACAGCAAGGAGCAGTGGACAGAGAGTGGGATTCAGGGACAGACAGACAGGGAGACACAGTCCCAAATTACACAGTGCTGCTCCAGGGCAACGTGAGGCACATGGGGCTCAGGGAGGGGGTGACTACTGTTAGCATTGCCCACTCTGTCCCGGCCACCGATGGGTCTTTGCTCACACGGCGCAGGGGTGGGGCTGTGCGGGAGCCTCACCTCTGCCCTCTCTCTGGCCTCAGAAGAAGAACAAGGTGCACTACCATGTCGCTATCATCATCAACTACCTGGGCCACTGCGTCTCCCTGGTGGCTCTCCTGGTGGCCTTTGTCCTCTTTCTGCGGCTCAGGTGAGCAGTCCCGGGCACTGCCCCTGGGCCTTGAGCAGGGGGAGAAGTCAGGTGCAGGGGCTGCTGGGCAGGGGAGTCCCGCCCCTCACCTCCGTGGGAGGGGGTGACAGCTGTAGAGTCCCAGGTCTCTGGAAATCTCCGACAGGGCCACTTCTGCCCTCTTGCCGAGTAACT